GTCTCCCAGCTAAGGAGAAACAACAAGAAAAAGGAATCACTTGAGAGAGAATTCCAAAGAAAGACTTTTTTGGGTTTTTTTTTGAAGCAACAGATTTCCCCTTTCCAGGGTCAATACTTAGTACAGAAAGTCGTGATATTTAGCATCCAACGTGCTGTCACACACATTTAAGCATGCTTTAAAAAGTCCCTTTTTCTACAGCAATTATTATTTTTAAAGTAACTTTGAAATTTTGTATCTCATATCTAACACCCACGTAGCTGCAAGACACTACTCATTACACCTTTATCTAAGGAATTACCTAAACACAACAGGTAAATATGAGGTTATTCTCAGGTACCTTTGCTGGGCCAGAAACAGGACGCAGCAGCAACGGTCTGGATCGCTTCTTGCTGTGCTCCAGGTTCTTCTCATGCTCAGTTTTCTGCACACTGTTCACCTCACATGGTCCATTCCCTGTGAACTGCAGTAAATAAATAATGACTTCAAGGCTCTCTTCCCAACTGGCACAAATAAAGAATCCTAACAGGACGCAGAGAGCGTGGTTAAGTCACCTGTTCTGAGAAATCCCAAAGCAGAGGAGCAAAGTTCATCACTGGCTGTGTGATTTGTCCATAGTGTTTTGCATATTCTACATACAGAGATTATTCAATATTGTGCCTTGCCCTCAGCAACGCACGTACCAAAGACCTTTTTGCTTCTGGGAGGAACTGTCCAAACTCAGAGAGAAGATCCTCCTGGCCCCGGAACAGATTGGCCACTTCGGTGAACACCTCCTCCTCGGACATGCCTCGGAAAGGTCGGCCCTTGGTGTTCAGCTGCTCTTTCTGAAAACACACACAAAGATGTGGAAATGGAGTCAAAAAGTGCCTCACTCTGCCAGAAAACTCGCCCTGTGCCAAAAATGGTCAAGCTGCTACACAGCTCGGAATGACCACCTGCCAGCCCCAGGTTCTTACAGTGTCTCCTTTCACACACGCTGTCACTAAATCCACTGAGGGTTGGGAAAGACAGGTCTGGATACAACCCATTTACACCTCAGTCCCTGCAAAGTGCCACACTTTTCACATTTCTGCCATTTCATGTGAATATCTACAAGGCAGCTGCTGGATAATGACCGGTTCCTGGGAACTCTGTAGCCTGTAGTTCAACAGGCAGAGATTAAATTTGACAACAACTGCTCCAACAGCTACAGTGCAAACCCATAGTCCCTCTCATGGAACACTTTTTACCTGGTAAGTGTGAAGAATCTCTAGGAAGGATCTGTAAATTTCTGGATGGTCAAGGAAGCGCGTCTTGATCTTATTCACGTAACTGATGGCGTTGTTGAACTCCACAGAATCAGATTCCAGGGGCATTTGGGATTTATCTTCTTTGTATGGAAGCTGTTGCCTGAACTCCTCTGAGCAGTCACTGTGATTGTGTGAGTTCTCCTGGGAGTAGTGCAGCAACATCCCACTGCCAGAGAGCGCACTGGGAACAGGCTCTGGGGGCACCTGCAGACAGACAAGACAAGACACCCAAGAGAGAGACTTGTCAGAGAAGGAGCACAAGTGCAAGTTCAACAACAACAACAACCCAGCATCACTGCTGGCAAGCTGTTTAGCTCAAAAATATCACCAGCTGAAGAAGAAAGCAAAAAGAATTCATCAGCCAGTCATTTCCCTATCTCGTTTATTAACTCCATCAGTGAATACGGGAATGGCTGGGAGGCAGCTGCTGGACAAAGAGGAGTTCCAAAGGGAACTCTGTGGCCTGTACAACAGGCAGGGGTTAAATTTGACAGCTGCTCCCAACAGTGCAAGCCCAACTGCCCCCTTAAAAGGAGGCAAAAAAATACCTCACTCCAGAAAATTCATCCTCATCAATGTGCACATGACTTACAGTGACCATCAGCCCAGGATCTTACAGGACCCAGTTTCTCTACCCAGTTTAACTCCATCACCTAAAAAAAAATCCCCTAAATCCTACCTGGTGTAGGAACCACTGACTTGTGACTGTCACGGTGTTCTTGGCCTCACCTGAGGTGCTGCACCAGCACCACCCACTGCAGCTCCTGCTCCCACTGGTTATTGCACAGGAACTGCCCCTTTTAAGAATATTAAACTTCAGGCTCTTACAGATGGTAATTTCTAAGCAACAGAGAGATCTAAGGGAACTGAGATCTGAAAGATAGCTCCTGCTACTAATTGGAGTTAAACCACAAGTTTATCAGCAGAATTCACTTCATGGCTCTGTTTCAGCCTCCATAACCACACAGCAGCAACACAAAACAAGCAGAGGCAACATCCACCTGTATCCCAGCAGTTTTGTTTCACTGCAGGATGTTACCAACTGCAGGTCTGAGGTGGACTCCAGGATCTTAAAGATCTTTTTCAACCTGAACAATTTGATGATTTTATGACTCTGGGTATTTTTGCCTTCTGCCTAAAGAAGGTGTCTCAGTGGAAGAATGGAAATGCAATCCCTCCAGGATCCCTTCTGGAAATGTGCCACTGTCCACACCATGTACTGAGAACCTGTATAACTATGTCAGGCCACTTACAACTTCAGTTTTCAAATCTGAAGTATTTGGACTTGAAGTGGTGTTTCAGGCAGGATCATCATTCCCTTGTAAGCTAAACAGTGGCTTGACAATAAACTGGGGGTTGGGACTGGGTGATCTTTAATGTCCCTTCCAACCCAAAACATTCTCTGATTCTTTGAATGAATATTTAAATTTATATTAGACCCATTACCACAGGTTTGACAACCATCTGAAAACTTCAGCAAGGTGCACTGCACATAAACCTCCCCAGCGTGAACCAGGCAGGAGATGTGTCCAGCAACACCCAGAACAGAGTTTATTTACAGACTCTGACCTACCTGACTATTCAAAGGTGACTGTATACTCAGCTTCCCATTCTTTGGAATTTCTATCCTGTAGCCCAGAGGCAGAAAGGCATTGAATCCCACAATGAGGTCGGGGTGCTCGTGGAAAAGCTGAGAGACACGACGGATGACTCCAGGTGTGTCAATGCTGAAATTGAGAAGGGTTTGTTACTTGTATCCAAATCAGAAGCACACACCTTAAAGCCTAGAAAATGCCAGAGGAAGGGATGCAATTTTTAAGGAGTTTGGGAAACTCAGATTAGCCCAAGCAGAGGGAACGACCAGCCTGACACTGGGAGTGTTATTGAGGGTTGGATCTCAGGGAAAGGTTCTTCCCCCAGAGGGTGGTGGGCACTGCCCAGGCTCCCCAGGGCAGTGGGCACGGCCCCAAGGCTGCCAGAGCTCCAGGAGCGTTTGGACAACGCTCTGAGGGACAGGGGGGGATTGTTGGGGTGTCCTGGGCAGGGCCAGGGGTTGGACTGGGAGATCCCTGTGGGTCTCCTTCCAGCTCAGGATATTCTGTGGTCCCATGAAAGGCTGAGGAGCTCCCCAGAGCACCCCGGGCTTTACCTCTGGCTCTTGAACTCCTTCATGATCTCCAGGAAGCCGTTATAGGTGGCGGGGTCGCTGCCAAAGCGGATCTTCACCTGGTCCAGATAGGAAAGCGCATCCTCCACCTGCAGGGTGAGAACAGGGGTGAGGAACAGCCCCCGGGACCCCCCACGGCCCCGGAATTGGGGAGGGGGCTCCTCAAGGCCCTGGGGGTGGTGGGACCTGCCCCCGAGGGAGCCCCCACAGCCCTGGGGAACCAGAGGGGCACAAGGAACCAGGTGAGGGACCTCCGAGGAGGTGCTGGGGGGGATGGCAAGGCACGGAGGGGGGGACACGGCACCGGGGGGCCGGGAACAGGTCCCGAGGGGCGATAATCGCGGTACCAGAAGGGCTGGGCAGGGGGCACGGCACAAGGGAGGGGGAACAGGCCCGGGGGGCGGGACTGTACCGGGGAGGGGAACAGCCCGGGGGCTCACGGTACCGGGGAGGGGGTGCGGCCCCAGGGGACCCCACGGAACCGGAGGACAGCGGGTGGAGGACATGCCCAGGGACCCTCCACGCCTCCTGCGGTGGGGGTACAAGCCCCAGGGGGCGATTTCAAGCACCGCGGCCGGGGCCGAGGACGGGTCGGTCAGGGCGGTGCGGGCGAGAGCGGCGGGAGACCACCGGCCCTTCGCGGGGGTAGGGCGGGGAGAGGGGGGAGGAGGAGGAGGAGGGGGTGGGTAAGGGTCATTCGCGCCCGGCGGGGCGGCCCCGCACTCACGTGCACCGGCAGCTTCTCGTGTGGCGCGGCCCGGCCGCCCCCGCTGCCGCCGCCGCCGCCGCCCCCTCCCCATCGCGGGCCGCTGCCCCCGCCGGCCCCGCGGCCGCCGCCGCCGCCCCCCGCCGCCATGTTGGATCGGCCGGCCCGGCGCGGCCCCCGCCGCCCGGCGCGCGCGCCCGCTGCGTCAGCGCGCCCGGGCACGAGCACGCCCACGGCGGGACACGCCCCGCACACACAGAGAGGCCACGCCCACGGCGGGACACGCCCCGCACACTCACACACACACACACACAGAGGCCACGCCCACGGCGGGACACGCCCTCCAATCGGCTCCGCCCCCGCTGGGCCTCGCCCTCCGCCAGGCCACGCCCTCCCGGCCTGTTCGGCGCCTGAGGGGACCGGGGGATCTGAGAGGATCGGGATGGAGGAACCTCAGGACTGAGGAGACGGGGGGATCTGAGGGGATACAGGGGAGCCGGGATGGAGGAGCCTCGGGACTGAGAGGACGGGGGGATCTAAGGGGACCGGGATGGAGGAGCTTCGGGACTCAGGGGACGGGGGGATCTGAGGGGACGGGGGGATCTGAGGGGACAGGGGGAGATCTGAGGGGACGGGGGGATCTGAGGAGAGCGAATGGAGGAGCCTCGGGACTGGGGGAGCCCGGGGGAGCTGAGGGGACTGGGGAGGAGCTGGGATGGAGGAGTTGTGGGGCTGAGGGGACTGGGGAGCTGGGATGGAGGAGCCCGGGGGGCTGAGGGGACTGGGGGAGCTGGAGGATCTCGGAAGGGGCTGAGGAAGACTGGGGTTGGAGGAGGTGACAGCAGCAGAAATGCCTTCCAGGAGAGCTGAAAATGAGTGGTTGGCATTAGATGTTGTGCTGGTAAGTATAGGTTGAAGTAAAGATGCTTTTGGAGCATTCACTGGTTATTCAATGCTTAGTAATAAAGGTAATAAATAAAAATTTTTATAAGAGCAATCCTGGAAGGACCATGAGAGGTATCAGAAAATACAGCTCCTGGCTGGTAAAGCACCCTGTAGCTGTGCAGGAAAGAGAGCATGGTATGACTGTACAAAAAACCCTTTATTCCACCTGTGGGAAGGAGTAGCTCAGACATATCCTTGGAGTATTGTCAGGTGAAAGAGTAACAGCACTGATCCAACCTCCTCCACCACTCTCTTTTTTATCAACTAGATTCTCCTGAGGTGGCTCAATTTCTGCCTTCTGTTGCTGTTATTAACTTGAGAAGTCTCATTCTCTTCCCCGAATTTGTGGCTCACGCTGGCGAAATGAGCAGAATCAGCTGCAGGTAAATAACTCCAGTGACTTGTTTTCTGTCAGGGTGCAGTTAACAGCCCTCAGTCACTGACAGCATCACCCTGATGGTGCATCCAGCTCTAGGGAGGCTTTCAAAGCAGCCTTGTGCCTGTCAGTTTGAACAGCTATGACAGGATTTGGGGTATTCCTGAGAGCTGGGAATCCTGTCAGTTGGATCCTCCCTGCCAGCCCAGGGCAATAATTAACTACTGACTGTGCTGTGGTACTTTAGGATAGCTCATCTGTTCCTGCTGACAGAGCTCCGAGTCCCAGAGGCGCTGCAGGGAATCAGCAGATCCACTGAGCGCTCTCCAGGGCTGCTTTCCAAGCAGATCTGCCTTCTGTGACCTTCCAAGGGAGACTCTTGTGAAGGAATAACTCCCCCCCTGCTGGCCGTGCCACGGAGGACTCTGGAATCTCAAAGGACAACCACTTGGGAAATCGGGGAATCTGCCCCAGACAGAGTGTCCAGGTGGTGACTTTGTGAGTGTCTTCAGGCTGGGTAAGACAGACACAATTCCTTCCAGAGCAGCACAGCCTGTGCTTGGTGCAGGGCTTTGGGCTGCTGGTTGTGCCTGAGGTTCCACACTCCCAGGCGTGGGGAGATGAGGGAGGCAGACATCAAAGTGCTGTCACACAGGGCCAGGAGTGTGGCTGCTGCTCCCATCCCATCCAACGTGTCAATCAGCAACCCCCAGCTGCATAAACTCCACACCTGGGAAAAGCTGGAGGGGGAAACTCATCATTGCCTGATTCTATTTAAGAGGTGAAATAATAAATCTTCATTAACTTGCCCAGAAACATGAGTCAAAGGATAACACCTTAGCACTAGCAAGCCAAACATTGCCTTTTTTACCCTAAAACAGACGTTTGCAGCACCTGGAGGTTTGTTTTGCTCTGGAAGGTGCTTAATGAGCCCCTGCCCAGTGGGGGCTGTGCTGTCTGTTCACCTCCAGCTGTGTGTGCCAGCTGGGCTCTGCTCACAGCTGGGTAACAGGGCAGCTTTTGGGATTTCTGATTGAAAACGTTGCAGAAATGAAACTATTTCAGGCCTGGGGCATAAACTGGCTGGAGCTGTGCGTGGACAGTGCTCTCTGTGCAGGGTCAAGGAGAGCAGAGAGGCTTGAAGCAATAAATGATCATCTTTTTTAGAGGCGTGGCAGTTCTGGAAACGCATTCAGGACTGCAAATCCACACCCCAGCAGGTAGCTGGGGATCAATCCAACCCCTTTACTGGATCAGAGGCATGTTCTGTAAGTTGGATTTGGAAGGGATGCCTCTGGTTGGGAAGTTGCCCAGATTTCCTTCCTCCCTACCTGGGTAGATGCAGCCTGAGAACCAGTAATGGTGGTGATGTTGCCAGCAGAGATGACAGCTGTGTGGACCATTCCTTCACGTTCCAAATCTGTCTCCATGAGCCTGTGGAATCCCTTTGGATCAGCCAGGGTGCACTTATACATACCCCTCAAAGTCTGCACCAGTAAGATGTTAGTTCCTGATTTATTGAGCCTTTAATCCCCTTCAACACCCTGTCCTTATGCATATGTTTTAATGACTATATTTCCTTAAAGGGAAGCTTAGAACCAGTAAAAAATAATCCTGTCAGCTGAAGTTTTTCTCACCATTTCCATCTCACTGCCCAGGAAAGGGCTCCTGGTGTGCAGGCGTGTTCTGGGCCCTCCACAAAGAGGGTTTCACCCAACCTTTGTTGCCCCTGAGGCACAGTGGTTCAATCAGGCTGGGCAAGTAAAAAATTCCATGTGCTGGCCCCTTTAACAGGACACTTGGCATGTGGGAGAGCAGCCTTTCCCAGCACTTCCCTAAGGGATGGGAGCTGCTGAACCTGCAGCAAGAACAGACTCCTGACACCACCCCAAAGGAGGCTCAGGCTCAGCGTTCCCATCAGAAGGGATCTGCACAAAAAAACACCAGGGCAAGGGGAAGATGTGAGGCTGGCAGAGCTTGAGCTGAAAGAGAGATTAGCAGTGAAATTTAGTCTGCTTACAGGGTGTTGGGCAAAGCTGTGAAGTGCAGTGGGATAGAAAGTGTTTTGCTTGTGCATTTGGGGACTGGGCTCTGGAAGTGTGAGGAGGATGCTCTGGTCAGAGTGGAGAAGGAAGGCTCTTCTGTCTGGAACCTTCATGGTCGTGGTAAACTGAACCTGGTCGTTCTTCCAGCACCTTTAAGCTGAGCACTGTCCATACCTTGGCAGCTGAGGAAGAATAAACAATCCTCCTCATCCACAGGAAGGTCATGTCTGGGCTGTTCTTTGGGATGTGTATCCAGATAATAAACCTGGCTCTGCCAGAAATCAAATCCCACCTGTGCAGACTGTGATTGGTGGCAGCAGAAACAACAGAGATTCCTTTTCCAAACGCCTTCACACCCCTCACCTCGGCTATAAACCAGGGGTTTGTGTTTGATAAAACGGGGGATTTTCGGTGTTTTCAGCAGCTGGGAGAACGCCGGTGTCTGGGAGGTGTCTGTGTGTCTGCAGCTCCAGGAATGCCAGGCTGTCACAGCTCTTCTCAGACAGAAAAGAGCTTTCCAGCCTCAAAAAAGTAGAGAAGCCTCCCCAGAGTGCCCAGGAAGGGTGTGCAGCATCTGCAGACATTCCACATCCCAGACAATCGTGGAGCCATCCTGGGAACCTGCCACCAGCAGCCGGCAATCAGGACCGAGCGCCGTGGCTGCGGTGGCTGCTGTGACACAGAGACAAAAGCAGAGGCTGCTCTTGGTGCCACAGCCAGGAAAGGGACATTTTGAGCTCGTTCCTGTGCTGTGTTTCCCCAGCTGGAACCCCCTGTCCCGTCGGAACCCCCGTGGTCCGTGCCCAGAGCAAGATTAGGTTCCTGCAGACATATCTAGGTCAGCGTGTGTGCCTTTGTTGTCCTGGCGACAAAATGACCCACTTTGCCCTCATTTGTGGAAGGAGCTGCCAATGGGGCTGGGGCTGGAGGAGCACAAAGGCTCAGGACCTTCAGCCTGCCTTTGTCTCAGCTCCCAGGCAAGGCTGGCTTCCTACACCTGCAGATGTGCTCTGCTTATTGCCCGTGTTTCTTGGACCTCGTTTGGAACAAATGGATAATTACACTTGTCCCTGGGCTGTGTCTGCCCCCAGGACTGATCCTGCCTCTGAGGAGCCCAGTGAAGGTTGTGTGTAAGGGCCCACCAAGATGCCAAGAGCAGCTCAAGCATCTCCTCACCTTGGTCCTGCTTCCCAGCGAGCTTCAGCCTCGGGCACAGCACGCTGGGGAGTGTTCAGAGTGTCAGGCTGTGCTGGGGAAATGCTGATGTGGATCCTTGGAGGATCATCTGACAGGAGCCAGTGGGATGTGGGAGCCCCATCACCAGACAGCAACCTCCCCACAGGGCCAAGGAACAGCACCAGTGTCCGTGAGCCACGGTGGGAAACTCTGAGGAGGAGTCCAAGCCATTGCAAGTCCCTCTGGAGGTGGTGGCAAATCCAGTGCTGCACCTGCTCAGGAGTCTGCACATCACAGCTGTTTTCCCAGGGTCAATAAAGGATGAGGGTTGTGTGGAGTGTATCGTCGTTCTGCCTAATGTGCTGGAAAATGTTATCCAGTTAATTGTCTCCCCCAGAAAAACCTGCAGTTCTTCAGGCCCAGAGTTGTGTGGTGGCCCACAGCTCCTGCAGAATCTGGCCTGGGGGGGGGGGTTCAGTGTTAGGAGGAGTGATCCAGAGGGATTTGAGTCAGGCAGAAGCATGGAAGTGGTACCAGCTTGCAGTGTGCCACCCCGTTCTGTCCCTGGCTGTTGCTATGGCATTTTCATTTCTGCTTCCTTGCACGGGGGATTTGTATTTTTTCCTCAGTTACTGAGAAAACCTCCCCAGTTTTTAGGAGGAAATCTTGGAGAAGGAGCTCCTTGCCTTCAGTGTGAACCCATCTGCCAGTTCTCTCTGTTAGTTTGCACAACACATTTCAGCTTGTGCTCCTGAGAGACTCTTGTGTTCAGGGCTGGACCCAGGGTGTGCTTAAGTTTCCCATTTCAGGCACTACTGGTTTTGCTGCCATCTCAGCCCATCAGCTGATGGGTGAAGCTGCTAAGGCAGGTTCAGTAATTCTGGGAACAGCCTCCCTTGCCCAGCAGAGGTGACAGAGTGTGGCCTGTGCTGTGTCTCACAAAAGCCACACAAAAAGGAGAGCCAGAGCTTTCTGTCCTGCCACCACCTTTTGTCTGGGAAGAATCTTAATCCATGTTCAATTCTGGGAGTGGGATGGGCTATTTAGGTGGAGGGTTCCAAAAACCAGCCCTTTTCCCCAGGAAAACGAGCCTGGCACCTTTGGATCTCGGGTGTGGATGGTGGGACCCTGTGGACCATCCCTGGGGACTCAGAGCTTTCTGGTTTGGTGCCGATCTTCTCGAACAGCCCAGACAAGAATTGTTCCCTGGGAGGGTGGGGAGGCCCTGGCACAGCTTTCCCAGAGCAGCTGGGGCTGCCCCATCCCTGGGAGTGTCCAAGGCCAGCTTGGATGGGGCTTGGAGCAACCTGGGCTAGTGGGAGGTGTCAGGAATGAGATGGGTTTTAAAGTCCCTTCCAACCCAAACCATTTGATGATTCTTGATTAAAAATAAAGAGTATGAAAACTCTGGATCTGGACATTTTGGGTTGTGTGGTTACAGCAATACAGGAGCAGTGATCCAGAAAAATGTATTTTTTTTTATCCTTACTGCAGCAAAGCCTCCACCCCTTTTCAAGCCCACTCACTGCCTTGTTGGCCATCTCAGCAGCGAGAAAGAGCCCCAATCAAAGGCAATTCTGCTCACAGGGAAGCTTTTCATACACAGTTGAGGCTGAAATTCTTACAGCTGCTGTGCTTTTTGCAAGAGAGATTAACACTCTCTAGAAAAAAAACCCTGTGTGACACCTTTAAAGTGAATTATTCGCTGAATTAACTCAAACAACCAGCAAAGCACATTTGAGATAAATAAAGAAGACAAAGCAGATAGAAAGAAATGTCTGGATGCATGTACCTGCACTCTCTTTTTTTAGTGGTGCAAGTTTAAAAGCATTCAATTTAAGAGGAATTTTTACACCTGCAGAATTAAAGGACACAGAGAATATAAAGGGCAGGTTTCTCCTTACATGTTTTATCAGATATCATTATCATTTCTTCAGAACTTCAGCCCACAAAAATTCCAGACCTTGCAGTGAGGGAGAATGGGGTTAACTTACTGATTTTTGGTAAAAATCCAATTTCTTGTCACATCCTTCGTCCTAAAGCTGAAAATCCATGAGGTCTGGCAAATCTTGGACAGGTGGTGCAGGTAAATTATTAGCACTGACTGTGTCCTTACAGCTGACTAATCACAGAACCATTTAGGCTGGAAAAGACCTCCAAGATCACCGAGTTCAGCCTTAAATTTGGGATTCTCTGCAGTTGTCACTCATTCCTTCCAGGAGCTGCAGCTCTGATTGATTCTGCAAACACTGAGCTCCCTTCTCAGGCTGGAAACCCCTCTGTCCTATCCAAACAGCACATTCCCTGGGTCATGTCCCACTGGAGGAGACTCTGCAGTGTTCTCTTTCCTTTGAGGGCCCTTCTTGGGCAGTTCAGAGCCTCTCCAAGCCTGTGCTTTCTTAGTTCAAAATGGACTCAGAGGGAATGATTTTCGGAAGGGGGACACTGAGTTTTGTAACCCCTGAAAATGTGAGTTATTTCCACCAAGAGAAGTTCTTCACAAACACCTCTTGCTGTTACAGGGGTGGAGGGGAATGGAGATTGTCTGGGATTTTGGGAAAGCCTGGGACAGGCTGTGCTTGGGCTGTGGCCTCCCTGCCAATGCCATTAATTCCTGATCCAGGGCACAACTCTGCCCCCTGTCCCCTGTCCTAAAGCGCCTTCACTTCCAAAGGAAGCCGCAGTTTCACAACTTCCCTGCTCAGCACACTCATCTCCCTGCATTGCAACAGAGCAGGGAGGGCTGAGTCAGCACTTTCAGGGCTTTGCAGCTGATTTACCTGGAAAAGCCAAGCTGGTGGAGACTAGGACCAGGCTGTAGTGCCTCTCTTTTTTTTTTTTTTTTTTTTTTTAAGAAATCCTGAGAAAATTCCAGCTCCTTTGATGGGAAGTGGTCGACTGAAACTTCCCTGCATGCTGGTGGGATCCATCTGTAGTTGAGGAGGATGGATATCTCTATAGCAACCGGTGTTTCTCACTTGGGAAGGATCCCCAGGGTGTCTTTCTGAGGCAATAAATATGTTCCCTCTCAGGGGCTGTACCTGAGGTCCCTTTGTGCAGCACCCTTGACCATTTTAGAAACAATTCTCTCTGTGTTTTAGCACAACATGAGGTTGTTCCAGTTCCATTGACGGTTCAGGCCCTCTCATCTTTCTCAAGTCCCAGCCTGGGCCTTGTCACTGCCTCCTGTCTGGGGAACCACCCCCAAAGCAGCAGCACTGGGAAAGGATAGAAAGAAAAACAAACAAACAAACAAACAAAACCCACCCACACACAAGAAAAGAGAGAAAAATCAGCAAGAGAGAAGAAAATCCACCTGCTGGCAGATAGTGCAGCTGACAGTGGAGTTCCAGTGACAGAAGGTGGCTGACCAGCTGAGCAGATTCATGCACTCAAAACCACCTTCTGCTCCCCCATCTTCTCACAGCAGACCCTAATCTGTAATTCCTGCGGGTTTTTGCCTTTTCCAGGGAACTGAACTGAGGGAGAAGCAGAATCAGGCAGAACAGCTGCTGTGCTTTCCCCAGTCCTGCCACGAGAGGAGATTGAAGAGGCTGCTGTCCATCCTTGGCTGTATCCTCTGCACCCCTCTGGCACACACAGGAAGACTTCCTGAAAAATTAGTAATCTGTCTTTATGGGCTCCTTTTTAATCTCAGAAGTCATCTACCCAAACAAGGAGAGATTAACCGACATCCTAATCTGTCATAAATCACACAGGCAGGGAGTCTAAATCTAATTTAAGCCAACATTAGGACCCTAAAATCGTGGAATGTTAAACTGTGCTTCAAGGCACTGTCATCTGGGGTGTGTTTTGTGCTTCTCCCTGTCTCTGTTCACACCAGCTCTTGTCTCCAGCAGAACCAGCTCACTCCCTGACTCACCCAGCTGGCTGCAGTGGCACCAGGAGAGTCCCTCAGCCTGCAGAGCTTTTTTTTTTTGGAATGTCAAGATCTGCCAGCTCCACTGAGAAGCATCCATTCCCTCATTTGGGAAAGCAGGAGCTGGTTTTCTGCAGCAGTGTGTGTGTGTGTGTGTGATGGTTCCTGGGGAGCTGCTGCAATTTGCAAATCAAAACCAAACAAACTCAACCGCCCAAATCTTTGCCAGGGACATTCTGGATTTCCTCAGGCTATGAAAAAGTTGAAGCCTCCAAACATATCAGACCTGTCTGCCCACATTCCAGGGTTACAGCCTACCTGTACCCTGAGGCTGAGATGAAA